TTGCTTGGCTGATTCTGGCTTTGTGTCTTCGAACGAACCATTGAAAGGGAGGACGTCATTTTTAAAGGTTGTTAGGTGCACTCAAACGTTTTAAGATAAGCTGATTGAATTTCTGGCGAGGGTTGGTGGAACGCTCTGTTTACAAATGAGTATCTACCTACCTAGTACCTACCTGCAGTGGCAAATAACTGGGTCGCGGTCAGTTAGGCATGATTCACGAAGTCCCTTATCTTTTATTAGACTTATTAAGCCCAATGTGCAACATTTGCGTCTTTTCGCGTTGTATCGGGTAGCAAATGAGAAAATCTGCTTCTTCTCCACAGCCCTCAATTCAAGAAACCGTCCTTTTCCTTATCGCATCATTCCAGAACATAATTTTCAAACATGGGTATCTTCCCCACAAAAAAAAAAAAACTGAAGAAGCAGTTTCCTTCGGCTCCAATGCGCCGCTCGCCCAGGGAGACGGAAGTGTTATATTCTCGGCGGTCCAGTCTGCATTCTGCAGCACACTCAAACTTGGCGGACCCCCAGCACACGACTGAACGATTCGTATTGTTGTGAGTGACTGTGACAATTCACTGGTGGTTTCGGAATAATCAACAGGCGGCGCAGCCCAGTGCCTCTTACAATGAATTACAGTGGCGAATGCACTATTGCAGAGAAGAAATGGATTGAGCAGATGCCCAACCTCGCTGTATTATCAACTAAACATTAGGTACGCTTTACATTTTAATCAGGCAATCATGTAAACAAACGACTTGCGAGTTGCGACCCTTCCGCCTTACATAACTCGGCAGAATGCCCCTGAGTCGGCTAAACTACACTGCATCTCTTCAAACCTAAGTATTTTACAATTTGCCACTCAGCTATGCAACAGGCTTATAATTCACTGCTCAAGTCTCAACCCCTTTTTCCCTATCATCTTTTTGGCACCGTCAATCGCCATCTGCGCTGCCCACTATCCAGCAAATAATCCGGCCGTCTCCAGTTCTGTGGCAGGGGCTTCCAAACTCAAGCGAACTCGCCGAAGTTTCGCCATTCAATGCGCGGGATCTGTACAATTGAGTTTGAGAGCCTCTGGGTTGGCTCGGCGCGCCTGCGCCGCGCCGTTGGTCCGGCCAAGTACGCGAGTGACGTCATGCTATAAGCGTCATCCCCCGACCAAAGTCACCAATCAGAGCCCTAGAATCGACTTGTAGTTCCACACTTAGGGAACTCGCGACCCGCCCTCGCAGTGGCTCGCGTTCTCCGCCTCCGACCCATTCGAGGTCACTGTGACCTCGACGCAGCTGCTGCTGGGCTTCCCGCCCCCGCAACGGCTCGTCCTGGACGGCTCGACCGGGTCCCCGCATGGGGTCACTGAGGTTGGCCTGTGTCGCCATCGGTCCAGTCCTGCTGACTTGAAGACGGCCCGAGCGGTGCAAGTCACCAGGGCCACTGCCCGCGCGCAAACCTGTGCGCACTGCCTTGCCACGCCAGTGTTCAAGGCCCCCGATCGCTCGCGATGCCCGAGCTTGCCGAGCTGAGGTCGGGATGCGGGCGGAGCCTCGCTGCCCGCCGGCTCTGACCGTATCGTGCACACGAACGACGGTGTAGGAGGGCACCCTTGCCCCTGTCCTGTCGCGCTACAATCCCTCGATTGTGTGGGCTGCCCTGCCGTAGGGGTACCGTTGAGAGCAGGTGGGTCAGCCACCCTCCGCTGCCACTCACGGCCGCACTCCGCTGCCGGTGTGTCCCCCCGCTGCCAGGGGCCTGCGTGCGCAGTGGGGCCCCCCATTGTCGGGCTGGCAGGCATGCCCACGGCCGTAGTCGCCGGGGCAGGCGGGCGTCCCGCCCATCGCTGACCCCCACGGCTGCACCCGGGACAGAAAGGCGTCCATCCGCCGGCCTCCTCAGACGGACCACGGGGGCGCTCCGCCCACTCCAGGCCCGCCTGCTGATGAGCGCGTGGGAAGGACCGCCCCGCCTGCTCGTTTGCCTGTGCGCGCCGCGCCGGACAGTCACGGATCAAGTGGTCAGGGCTGTTACAACGGAAACAGCGGCGCCCGTTACCCCGCCTGTTCGCCTTCCGTGGCCCTCGCCGGGGGTTCCTGGCTCCCGTCCCGTGTCCCGTGCGGTACGCGTCCCGCCTTTCCATCGTCTCAATGCGATGAAGGGTGCGCTGCAACTCTCCAATCACCCTCTCCAGAGCGTCAAGCCGAGCGGTGTCGGGCGCGTCCCGGTCCCGGACCGCCAATACCTCGCCCCCGATGGGCCGACGCATGACCCGGAGTGCGTCCTGCTGCTGCTGGAATTTATCCGCGATCCTCATGGCTTCGGTGAGGCTGGACGGGTCTTTTCTAAGCACCCGCGTCTGCAGCTCTTCCTCATGGAGGCCGCACACGAAGCGGCTGACGACGGTCGCTTCCACGGCCGGGTCGCCGGCTTCCGCTCCTGGGTACGCCTCCTGGCCTACCTGACGCACCCTGTCGGCGAAGTCGCGCGTTGCTTCACCGGGCTGCTGCCGGATACTCGCCAGCTCGGCGTGCGCCTGTATCGCCTTCTTCGCTGTGCCGAAACGGGCTTCCAATGCGGCCACAGTTTGCTGGAGGTTGCCTTGAATATCCTCCGACAGCGAGGCGAAGTAGTCCAGGGCGCCATCTTGAAGCAGGCTGACCAGGCCCCGCTGCCGACTCTCCTCCGAGAACGTGACCGTCTTCGCCCGGAACCGCCGGTACCACTGACCCCATGATTGATTATTTACCCCCGTGAAATTTTCAAAGTTAGCTAAAAATAAAAGTTCTTTCTCCATGTTGCGTTACTCTACTGAGCCGATTCAAAATAAAATAAAAGTAAAAATTTACTTTAAATGGTGCAACCCAACGAATGCGTGCCCGCTAGTGTCCGAACCGTCCTACCGACCGCGCCAGTTGTTCGGAACACGCATTCTGGGTAAACACCACGGCTCAGTTAACTAATGTATTAATCTATGTACATCGGCTCATTACACGCTAATACACTGACTGCCCATCAGGCCGGACCAACTCTCCGCCAGCTCATCCCTGAGCTCCCCTTGGCGAGCCAACCGCTCAGCCCCGAGCCCCTCTCGCCGAGCAACCCGCTCAGCGCCTGCCGCCGCCGGCGATGCGCCGCATTATATAGGGGGGCTGGGCGCCCGCCGACCAATCAGCGGCCGCCACGTCACCTACGTCACTGGCCGGCCGAGACTGCAGGCTGCAGCGCCGGCGCACGCTGCCGGCGGCCGATACGAACGGCCGCCGCTCCCCAACACCAATTGCGTCCTCCATGATTCACTCACACTCTTAAGCTCAGGCTACACTATCAGCGTTTTTTCGGTTTCTGCGTGATTTCGGTTTCCGCGTTTTTACGGTTTCTGCGTTTTTTCGTTCCGGACGGCCGCCGCGTGGATGGTGTTGTTTATAGCATAGTGATGGATAAGTGATCAAATTAATCAATTATTCATGTTAAATATTATCGTGTTTTAACAAAATTATAATTAAGTAATTGTTTTAAAGATTTTATAACTAACAAGAATATATTATTGATCATAATCATTTGTCAGATTAATTACAATTATCTTATTTGAAGTAGAATGATGAGTTTTGAAACACATCTTGTCTCCTTTAATCATGAATTACACCATTTTCATTATTTACATTTGAAACTGTTCCATCGTCACAATATTATTAGCAACAATCACTTCTAATCATTCATCACTAAAACGAAATCCCGCAGAAACCGAAGAAAAGTTCACAGCTCTGAACTTTTTTTCGGTTCCGACTCGTCGGTTTTTGCGGGTTTTCGTTCCACGGGACGCCAGACTGGCAGTGTAGCTTGCGGAATGCATTCGCTATGAGGCGAACTTGACGACGCGAACCGAAATCCCGCAGAAACCGAAAAAACGTCGGAATTCATGCTAGTGTAGCTTAGGCTTTAGTAATCACGCGTGCGCACAACGTGCACGGCATGCCCATTGAGCCTGCACGTGTTCTGCACATTGAGCTCTCCGTCCGCACGGGATATTTTCGGCCGACGTCCGACACAGATTGCGCGCTGGAGTTGTACAAATTGTGCGCCGGACTGCTAGCTGCAAGAGGCGTGATAATTTCATGGGAACGTGATTTGGCTTAACGATGAGCTTCAGTATTATCTAGTTACAGCCGAGGGTACCAAAAGACTGTAGAAGTTGTACGAAGGTTACAGTTTTCGGATTTGACTTAGGAAGATTAGTAGACATAATTAAAGTACTTCAGGTTAAGTAAGCGTGCGGTCAATTCGCATTGAGCCATGTTTGTGCCAGGTTGGTCCTTTCCTGAAGTGTTGCGGTAACATTTTCAATCAGAAGATGGCTATGCCAAAAAGGCACGGGACGAAGTTAATCATGACAAACATGCAATGTGCCGTCTGAAATGGCGCAGCAAAGGCCATGGCGCAGCAGCCTTTGGACTTTTGGACTCTGGAGTAATGTGGGAAAGGGGTCTAACTCGAGATCTCAGGTTAACAATTTTTAAAATAAGGTAGTAAGTTTGACAACTCTTTGCAGCATTCTAAATTGTTTTTTTGAGCGCTTACCGCGTAATGCCTCACAATGAGCGGCGACATTCACCAATTTGGCGATCATTCTGGAAACGCCGGAACTGAACAGGGTAGGTTCAGTGAGTAAAATGCGCCCCAATTTCCGCGTGCGGTCCATGGTCCATTTTTTGTTATGCATGTAGAGTAAATATGGCACTGCACCATATATTCATTGCACTAGATTGAAGGAGTGGATGTTCTTTATTTATTTGACGGTGATACTGGTTAGGTTGGAAAAAGCAATAATTACGATGACATTCCAAGGTGATTGCTAGATCATGTGCTTCTCACTGTTACGGAGTCGAATTGTGAAAAAGCTAGCTGTGATCAAGAAGCCATACTACGTAAAAGTTCAAGTTCCCTCGTGGTGACTTTTTTCCCAGTCTCGATCACGACTGACCAATTTAATCCTTCACGTGTTTCAGCGCACACCAATTTTGACGGGGAGGATGAGCCGGTACCGACTGCTCCCCCGCTGGACATTCTCGACTCCGTGCCCGGATATGAGTCGTTGGGGTTCGACGCTGGTGAGTCACTTCTAATGAGGCGGACAAAATACGAGCTTGGCTGCCATTTCTGGCATCCCAGCGCAGATGTTTGAGATAAGGACGTCACTAAGCTATCTGGCTGTAACAGAGGGTCTCATCACTCACGCTCATTTGCAGTTAATAGGGATATTGCTCAATAGGTTTATATGTTAATTACTTAGGGGCTAATTATAAAAGTAAATGCAAATTTACAGTTAATGATTTAATGTATTTAATTGGAATACCTAATTGGATGTCAGTATTTGGATAAATGTTTGTATGAGGGGGGAGGGACATTTGTAATGGCCCACTGCATGCTCTGTACTCTGTAGATAATCTGGCGGTACCAAAGGTCACAGATCCTTGGACCAAATTTTTATGCAAGCTTGCATCACAAGTCTGCTATTTTCGAACATGCGTATCAAGCGTAATATGTGGATTGGCCATATCACATACTCAGGCTACGTGACATTGGTTGTTCATGGGTTATACTGCCAATAAAGTTAAACTGGATAAATATAGTTTATTTGTAATATGTGATGCATGGAATGCTGCTGGATTATGTTGCAACTTACGAGCTTTTGTTATTCTAGGATGGTTTGAACCCTGACTTATGACCCGTTGACTAAAATTTGCTCTGATCATATAGTTTTAATGCAATGAAGGAGACTCTGGGACATTAATCGGCACTTTGTCCAGTCGGGCAACGAAAGGAATGGTCATTGATTAGTGGTCAATGGAAGGCACCTGCCAGTAAGGTGATGGCGGTAAACTTAAAGCCTCTATTTTGTTGCAGGTATCACGTGGAATATACGAGGTATTCCCTGTATGCAGCTCTGTCAGTGTAGTCGTCATCCCGCACGTTTATGTTCCTCACACAATGTGCTCACTGCTCATTTTCATAGTGGTATTCCAATGCCATTTCTTATTCCTTTTCCTTCTTATGTGTATGACTAGTGGAAAACACATGCACATGTGCGTGTGCATTACATGTTGTGTCGCTAGACCCGTTGTGCGCAACTATTCTGACATTTAGTTACTCTCTCAATGAACAACGTTTAACCCTCGCACGACCAGGCCATTTCTCATAACACGAACGACCAGGGGGGGGGGGGTTGTTACGACCCCCCCTGGCGTTTCGAAACGGAAGGTCGTAGAGCTTAGCGGAAAAAACCAACGGATTGCTCTCAACGAGATCTCGCGATTGGTGGTATATTTTTTGGTCCTAGGTCAACATTTGACCTACTTTTGACCGGTCAAAGGTCAAATTTTCGGAAAAATAGACTTTTTTTTCAACTTTCGGCGGCGATTGCGGCAAAACGGTGGGAGATATCGACTTGAAACCTTCACTATCGTGTTCCTTGATCAATTCTCTATCGTTTGGTATGTATTTCGTTTCCCTAGCTCTAAAAATGGCGCGTTGGGAGCGCCGGAAGTCGGCAAGGTCACAGTCGGCGGCAGAAATTCGAAAAATCAAAATTTAAATTTTTGAAATCTGATTGTATTTTTGGATTTGGGAGGTCCATTTGCTCCCTATAGAAGCTAATATTGCTGCATATTCCCATTGAGGTGACAAGAATTAGCAAAATAGTGGTTCGGGCGCTTTTCAAAAATAGTACCGGACGCTGTTCCTCTTGTGACGTCATAGCTCCGTGACCTGACCTGACCCGGTCAAATTTCTTATACCATATGATAGCCAATACTTGCCCCAACATGCATGGGAAGTTTCATCACGATCCATCAACCGATGTCCGTACCACCGGCAGGAAACCTCGGGCGTTGGCACTCAGTTTGTGAAAATCCGGCCGGAGGCTGTACCTCTTATGACGTCATAACTCCGTGACCTGACATGACCCGATCAATTTTTTTTCGGCAAAAGATGCGCAAAGGTTGCCCCAGAGGGTATTGAAAATTTCAGCCCGCTACAACAAGCCGTTTAGCGTGCACTTCGAAAAAACCTCAGGGGGGGGGGTTGATACAACCCCCCCCCCCCTAGGCGTTCTAGGGTTAAGTTGGCAACGTTTTGTTCTCGTTCCCGAGATGCGCTCTCTGAACGCGGCCCCGCCAAGAGCGGACGTTACCTGCATCTGAAAAACTGATCTTTCTGATAAAAAGCTGATCTCAACTTCATGTAGACAAATCAAGTAAGACCCTGGTACCGTAAGAGCAGTGCGACTACGAGCCCAGTGGATAGAGCCTGACCGGCCGCCGTTTGGTGTTTGGGTCGGCTGACTGGTCGGCTGTGTATGTGACACCCGCTGTGTGCCGGCCAGTGTGCGTGCCGCCGCCGTTTGGTGTTTGGGTCGGCTGTGTGTGTGACGCCCGCTGTGTGCCGGCCAGTGTGCGTGCCGCCGCCGCCGCCCGAGGCCACCTGGTCGGAGCCGAGCGGGCCGCCACCACGTGACCCGGTGCACGTGGGCGGCGAGCTGAGCGAGCAGCAGGCGCGCGCCGCGCTGCTCTGTCACGTGACCGACCACTGCTGCTACGGCCGCGGCGCGGCGCGACACATGAACATCGCCAAAATCAACTACAGCTCGGCCCACCACGTGAGAGCGACATACAGCGCGGCGGCGCGGCGTCCCCTCCTGAAACACGCATCGGCATGGAGTCTGTGTGCCAGGCCAGGCCACATTAAAAAGCTTTGTCTCAGTGTTTGTGTTTTCCTGATGTAGCGGACACAGTAACAATAACAACTAATTTCCTAGCAGTTAGCACACATTCTATGTCGCATGCAACGACTGCAGTTAATGTTGGCTGTGTTGCTTGTTGGCAGGAGTCTCGCTGGCTGTTATTCACACCCAGCATTTTTAACACGCGCAGTGGAAGGGGGGGCGGATTTCGCCCACCCCTCCTGTTTTTCGCCAATAACTCGCGCCGCAAGCATAATATCAATGTGAAATTTTGGCTACCTGTCCAGAATTGAATTGCGGATCTTCTCGTACAAGAAGTAAGAAAATCGGTTCACAACTTTTCTAGTAATAGCGGTGTAAAGTCAAACATCCTGCCGCCGCGGCGGCGCGGCAGCGCGGCGGCCGGCGCTAGCCGTTACGCGCCGCCTGAATTGTAGACTGTGCCGGGGCGGGACGGTTCCGTCTTTACATCGCGCTCCTTACCGCTGATTAAATTAGATTCGCGTCAAATTCAGTGAGAAGACTGAGAAATGTACAGGCAATCATATGGTTAAAGAATTTTGAAAATCGGCCGGTAACAACTTGAGTTATGAGTGTGTAAACACAAAATTGTGATTGCCGCGTTTCCCGCGTCGGCCGATGCCGCTTCAGCCGGCGACATCTTACCCTTAGCAGGCTTCTAACTGCCATATTTATTGTTGGATTATCTAGAAATTCACCATACATACTCACAAATGTTTTGTCTTTCGTATAGTGAAAGATTTAAAAAAATCGGCCGGTAACTTTTTGAGTTATCGGCGTGTAAACGCAAAAAAGTCGCTAATATGGCAGATTTGACCACATTTGACCTCATTTGACCTTGAAGATATTGACCTAGGGTCATGAAATTCACACACAACAGAGTTCCCCATGGCCCCCACCTACCCTCCAAATTTCGTCCTTCTAGCTCCACTGGGAGCTGAGATCTTAGGGGGGGCGACATCCGCCCCCCCCCCCTTCCACTGGGCGTAGTACTCGCAACCCTTCCACTGCGCGTGTTAAACAAATGTACCCATATGTTACATAAACTCATTTAAATGATTGCATGTCGGAAATAGTTTGATTTGCTTTCTGCGTTACTGATTGCCGTCATTCTAAGCACATTTTCCTTAAATTTAGGATCGTATACTCGTAATTATACTTATCCGTGCAGATAAGAATGAGTTAAAATTAATAAGTGGTCTGCGATAAATTAAGCTTACCATTACAGCAGCGTAATGCATTGCAAGTGCATGTGTTTGATGATAACCGTTAAAGTTACAATTGCCTTGCAGTTATAATCCACTTAACGCATCTCAGGACTTCGTTAATTAATGCATCGAAACAAGTTAAAACTTCATAGCTGATTTAGTTCAGAAATCGCCTCTCCCCACACCCGGCTGGGCGGCTGGCGCCCGGCCGACCTCAGTGGCGCACAGTGACGCGCCCGCCGTCGGCGCCGGTTTCAGTACGAGCTGCAGACGTTCACCGAGAAGCGTGAGACGTCGTGGACGTTCGTGCCGTACTCTGGCGGCGAGGTGGACAGCCCCAGCTGCGGAGAGGCGCCCGAGCCGTGGAGCGTGCCTGCCGAGCCCGGTGAGCCACCAGACCGGGCGCACACGCCCATCACATGCAACCAATTATACATAAAGTTAACCGCTTTGTTTTGCTCAATTTGCATTTAAGGACATAACCGCAGGCTGTTTGAAAAGACGAGCACTATCCGTTAGAATTGTTTTTCCATCGATAACCGAAGAAGGTTCGTTGTCAATAGTTAAAATACTATTCGTTAGAATTGTGTTTTTCTATTTTAAAACAAATCTGAGGTCCCTGACAATTTGGCAAAAGCTGCCTGAGTATACAACTGAAAGTTTTTGCAATTGGAATTCGTTGAAATTTGAGTGATACAATCGTTCCGTATGACGATTCTTGACCGCCTATCATTGACATGCGTTGTTGCAGTGATTGAACAACTTCTTTTGAATATACATATTGAATGTATACATTTGTACACTTTTGAATGTACACATATTTATGTACACTCTCCCATTTCTTCCATACGATATTGGAGGACTTACCATTTACTTACGAACCTGCTCACTTACCATGTCCAATGTGTTCCAGCCCAGTTGTTCCATGACGAGGTGAAGGTCATGGAAGTACCTCACACCGCCTCGGCCAAGGACTGTCATCGGTGCAAGGGCCAGGGCAGCCTCAGCTGTGCAGAATGCCACGGGAAAGGATGGGTGAGTGCCATGGGATCTTAGGTATCGTATTATATAGGCATCGTCAGGCCCATGTCACTTGAGCGAACCATTTTCGGCTGCTGTCATTTCAGCGATTATCAAATATAGCGATTATTGTTCGTTTTTTTTTCAGTTCGACCCTCACTGTTAACGTCACTTTGAACACAGCACGAGAATTGCTGTCTGAATTTCTGAGAAAACTGCAGTTGTCGCACATTTATTTCACAGACGATGCTTTATCAAAATTATTTCTGCCTGTATCCTATTTCCCAGACTCGCAGCTCGTATCTGCATATGTTTATAACTCTACGGGGATAGACGACACGTCAGGAATTATAATTGAAATGATTAATCCTCGCCCTGGCATGGGGGGTCGATGCGAGCCCCCCCCCCCCCCCTAAGGTTTTATATCCTTTCAAAATCACATTTTGTCGACGCATACCTCTACTTTGGACGATATTTTTGATTGACAAAAGGCAGACGTTATCTTCTGCGCCAGAACCTACTTTTAGCTCTGCATATTATCCCGCGCCCCAGTGGCGGTCGCAGCCAGCTTCGCCCTAGTGTGTGGGGGGGGGGGGGGGGGCATATGTTACCACCAACCTCTAACTCAAAAACTAAGAGGGCTAGAAAGACGCGGTAAAAAGCAGTCGATAGCTCTTATGCGTAGGTACGTTTGGAAGTATTTCGGTCATTTTTCATCTTAGAGCAATATTGGGGTCACCAGAGGTCATCAAAGGTCAAAATTTGCCAATTGTCATTAGATTTTTCAGAAAACATGCCGTTATCTCAGGAACTATGATAGCTAGAAAAACGCATGGAAAAGCAATCGATAGCTTTTGAACTCTTCTTTTGATAAGGTCATAATCAAAATTGACCTCAGGTCAACGGTATAGGCTTCAGAAGGAAAAAACTCCAAAAATAGCTGTTTTTACGAAAAGTGTTTTTCGACAATAACTTTCGACTACAAAAAGCTACGACATTTCTATTGCCAGAGTCGTGTTCCTCTCGCAAAGACGCGTCGAATGAATTATAATTTGACATTGAAAGGTCAACTTGAAAATTTGACCTCGGGTCAAGGTCATGACCTGACCGGAAAAGGTCATGTTGTATATCAGTCGATGCGTCTCAACAAGACAAACACAATGAGACCATCCCCAGCGTTCTATCTCTTTCCAATCGCGAGTTATTGGCAAAAATCTGTTTGTAGCCTCAAATGACCTCGGATGACCTTTCTAGAGGCTATCAGCTAAAATGACACCTAAGTCATCACGGGTGGTCCAAAACATTGTGATTCTGAAATATTTGGACTGTTCCTATGCATACACACGGATCTAGAGGCATTTTCATTTTTCTCCATTGACTTGTAATGGAAAGGTCACGCCACTGACCTGACTTTAGGTCACGGATATACATACAAATTGTAGGCGCCCATAACAACATGCAATCCACCAAATTTAAAACCTTTCTGACAAACACTGCAGGCTGGAGTGGACATGATTGCAAACTTTTTTAGGCTTGGTCAGTTAACTTGACCTGGTGACCTGACCTGACATGACCTGGGGTAAAAAATTTCACACATTGTCCAAAATTAATGTACCAAAAGCAACCCCAAGCGGCGCGGCGCTACGCGCCGCGGTTTTTTATTCACACGCAAAAAACGCGACAGGGTGGTAACATATGCCCCCCCCACACTGGGGCGAAAGTTATTTGAAAAGAATATTTGCAATGCAAGGCATTGGAACGCGCAGTCATTTTAGGCCAGATAGACATCCAATATGAACTTAACTTTCATCATGTGAACTTAAAGAGCAATGTCCGAAGCCGGAGCCGGAGTCTCAGTCGAAGTCGAAGTCACAAAAAAATCCTTTGAATCCGCAGCTCTGCACTCCTCCTCCCATCACGGCGCATACAGGGTGTTTCTGAAAACACTGACAAATTCATTTCTCCTATACCTTTCGTGTTTATTGACGCACACACGTCTTCATAGGCTGTAACTAGTCACCATTGAAAATTCGCATCCATCGCCAATGATCACTATTTGACCCCCTTCCGGGAACCTAGAGCTGGTGCTCGAAGTGACCACCACTTCAGCTCGGGGATGTCTCGGGGTTCATTCTTGTAGGCTCTTTCCTTGACATGACCCCAGAGGTTGTGTCAAGGATGACCTCTGGGGTCATCCTTGACATGACATGTCCGCCGGCGTGAGGTCCGAAGACCTCGGTGGCCACCTGGTGGGGGTGCCTCGGGAGATGAGCCGCCCCCCCCCCCCCCGAGGCGCTCCTGCAGCCACTGTAGGGTCACAGTGGCTGCATGCAAGGCCATCTATAGAAGGTACAGTCACTCCCCCGCCGACCAATCAGAGACAGATCCTGAGTGACGTCACCCCTGATGCTCGAAAGGGTACTCCATTCCTTTACAACGTAAAAATGACTAACTTCATTTGAAGATTGTTGGTGACACTTTACACACATCGCTCAACCATTGATGTCATTGGACAGTCCAACTAATTTTCTAGCGATAAAAAAGAGCAGCAATATGCTAAGAAATGGCCGGTTTTGAAAATATAGACGATTTAAAACCCTCTGCAGTTGCAGGAAAGCAACGTAAAAACGCATCGAGCTTATATTTTTACTATGAATAAATCATTTTTCAGTAAGTTTTTAGATATGGTATCGATTTATTCAACAACTTCATTACAATATTTTTATTACTTGGAACTTTATTTCAAAATAATATTTTCAAAAATGGCAACTGTTGGCAAGTAGCTTTGAAGCGATTGTGGCGCGCCGCGCCATTATTGTCCTGAGGCCCCCATATGATGTCATCAAAAGTGGAGTGACATGGGCCTGGCAGCATGAGCTGGGGCACCATCCTCCTGCAGCACTGCTCGTTGATGGTGTCCACACACTTCCTCTGGAGCGCAGTCAGAACTCCTTGAGCACCTGCAGATATCGCTCCGCGGCACTGTGAGGACCTCGCTCGCGTCATCTTCGATTCAGATTGGGCCGATAATGCCCGTGCTGCTCACATGCACCACGCAGTGCATTGGGGTGGGTGCAGCTGACGTTAGGCGATCTCGTCTTGGGCCTTATCTCTCCAGATCCGGTTGTTCCGGGAGTTGACCCTGCCGTCAAGGTAAAAATGGGCTTTGTCTGCAAACAAAACGCGCTCCAGAAATCCCCCTGTTTCTCTGCACTTCTGTAAAAAAGAACATTCGCAGAATGCAGAACGAGCGATCTTGTCGGCTTCCGTCAGCTTGTTTGCTTCTACACGCTTCCTTGCTTCCGTCGTCACAGCAAGCGTGTATGGGTATAGCTGAAGTTCCTTTTTGAGGATCCTTTGCGCTGTGGAGCTGCTGCACCCTGCTTCTTGCCCGAGACGTCGGTGGACTTTTTGTGAGTCATTTTTATCGAGCGCGCAGATTGTTCGATTTTTTTCCTGCCGTTCTGATCCACTCTTCTTCCCGAAAACGACTTCTGGAGGTTGCTAACTTTTCCTACTCGGATATATTATCCAGTTAGAGGAAGGATAGTGTTCCTGGAAGGCGCAGTTCCAACTTACAAATGAGCCCAAAAGCGCCTGTGTCAAAACAACTGATCTGGTTTCGAAGTAGAATTGCGCTATGTTAGCCTTTTCCAAGACTATGTAAACCAGGTAGAACGCTCCCGACGAAAAACTGGGGACAAGAATGAATTTAGTAACCGCGACTCTGGGGACCAAACAAACTCAGGTTGCCATGGTAACGGGGCAAGTTTGGCATGAGTACGCATCTAATAACTCATTTTTCAACGAATTGTTTTAGAAAAAAGCATAAGGACTTGTTAGAACACTACAAGAATGAATTGTAGTTTTCGTAACCAACCCGAGTTTTTATCAGACTAGCCTAAATAATATCAAGATCAAGTCCTAAACTGAACGGCTCGTGCTGCTATAGGTTTCCTCTAACGCTCAGGCCCCCAAAATCGTCACTGGCTTTCAGCCAATGAGCGTCGAGTATTCCCGTACGCTGATTGGGTGGGATTACTGCAGTTGTTGTTTAGAATGTTTACGGTGCTGACAGCGCTAGCGGAGGTCTTCACTTTTCGTGATGTTAACCCGCGCACCGACGCGACGGGGGTCTGCGCCAACTTCGTACCGACGGGGGTGGGCGGATGACCGCCCCCCCCCCCTGAGATCTTGAGAACGAAGCAAGATAGCGACAAGCGGTAAACGGCATCGGATACGCACGGACAAGGTCTACAATTTTTACAAAGGTCATTTTTAGGTCAAGTCAAAGATGACGTCACAGGGGCCAAAAAGTCCAAATGGCGGCGCTAGATATGGCGAGTTTTTCTCGAATAACTTTCGAATTAGTCAAGATAGGAACAAACAAAGTGCATAATCGTGATCCTCTCGTCGATCCGCATCAAATGATATATATGTTGACCTCGAAAGGTCAAGGTCAAAGGTTGACCTCAGGTCACATGACTTCGAGGTCATCATGTATATCATTCGATGCGCCTTGACGAGCTGAACACAATGAGACCATCCGCGTGACTGTATCTTGTTCCTGTACGGAGTTATTGGCAAAAAACCTTTGGTGACCTTTGATGACGTCACATGACCTTACAGCTGCCCAACAGCAAAACAGATCTCAAGCCTGAAGGTTGATCGTATATGAACTCATGTATGGTATATGGGGCCATTCCGACCCCTTTTAGTGGTAAAAACAGCGAGTTGATTTTTCCCCCATTGACTTATAATGGGGAGGTCGAGAAATTAACCTGACCTTAGGTCATCGATATCAAAATTTCGAGATAAACAAATTGTAGCTACTAATGACCTTATAACATCCTGCGACGTCCAAAGGCCTCCGACATCTACTGTAGCTCTGGCACGGTGACAAAGTTGCCAAAAAGGTGACTTGAGGTTGGGTCATTCAAAGTGACCTGACCTTAAAAGTTAAGAGGTTCAAACTTGCAAATCATGTGTAAAAATTGATGAGAATAGTCGTACCA